GGCAGAAAGGGAAGATACCGCAGAATAGTGAGTAAAAAGCTCTTTGTGACTTCTCCGATGCTGACCTTTTGTAGACTCCCTGTCATCCTTCCTCATCTGCCCTGTTTCTGATGCTCAGTCACAAGCTTCTGCCAGTTCCCTAACAAACCGGCTCCGTGAAGCATCCTCACAGTTGGACATGTTGCTCCCTCCAGCCCCTTCTCTATTAATCTTTCATGATAACTGCATGATGATATCACCTTCTCCAAAACTCTCCTCTGCCTTTATCAGGAAGCTTTAAAATCTTCCTCTCCTGAGCTGCCACAGTATTGTTTTTTCATCTCTGTCTGTACTTGGTACAATATAATAACGCCCTGCTCACCAGTCCTCTCCACCCCTCACTGTACTCTGAGTGCATGGAAAGACTCAGTTTCATCTATAAAACCATCCCTTGTACTTCATGTAGCACTGATATACAGAAGATGCTTGATATCGATTGTTCAAATAAGTAAATTAATGAATGTATATATTTAACTGCAGTCGAAATAAGATATAAGCACAATTCACTCTAGCTTTCTTATAAAATTTGAAATTATGGAAGAAATCATGTCTATATACCTGAAAATTATTGGTGAATCTATTCAATACAAGTACTAAAAGCTACCTAAGCTTTATTGACCTTGAGCAGATTATATAATCCATTGGAGTTTCTTTGTCTAAACAATGGATATAGTAATACCATTCATGAGCCAGGAAATATCCAGGTGCTGATGACAGAACAGTCAGCAGCCTTAGGGCCCATTCTGCTTAGATGTACACTTGATCCAGTAGAAAATGCAGCCGTTAGGAAAGTCATTCACATGTGATGAATGCTGTCTTGCGGGAAGGTCATGGACGTACCACATGAGATGTGTTGGGAGAGAGCTATTCTAGGCTTGGGAGCTGGAATAACGGCAGCCTTTCTTTGTGATATCTAAGCCAGACGGTATGCACGAGCATGTGTGTGTGCACTCAGTGGGTAGAAGGAGTGGGGGCCAGAATGAGAGCCTGCCAGGTAAACTGCATGGTATTTGCAGCTGTGGAAAGAAGTTTACTGGGTCAACTAGAAAGATGTAAGTGAGGGATTTAGATTCAAGTGTCACCGGGCAGGTACAGGTACTAGATCATATCAGGTCTTATAAGCTTTTAAAAACATTTGACTTCATCCTTAGAGCAATGACAAGGTATTAACAAAGAGAATGGATCAGAAATTCATTAAAAAATAAATACTCTAACTGCAATGTAAAGACTGAATTAGTAGATGCAGATTTGAAGTAGAGAGACCAGCTTGGAGGCTGGTTAGTGATAGCTCAGGTGAGAGACAATGGGAATCTTGACCTAAGAAGTGGTAGAGAGAATGGAAGAAATGGACAGATTTGAGAGATCACCAAAGTATAGAACTGACAATCATTAGAGCTTGACTGTGGGGCCAAAGAAAGGAAGAAATCAAGGAAGACATTCAGGTTTCTGTCTTGAGATGCTGGTGGGCAAACAGCCAGTCATTGGAGGAAACAGGTGTGGTGGGGTAATAACGTTTTTCCTAGGCCTCATAGAATTGTTTTAATGATTAAGTGAAATAGTTTATATAATAGAAACTAGCACAATGTCCTAGTACATTAAAGCTCTTTTCCGAAATCATTTCCATTCCCTTCTTATTTTCAAAGTTGTACCAGTAATTTAGAAGCAAAACTGGGAATCGAGTCCTGTTTACCAGTTCAGAGTTCTTTGTTAATGGACTGCTGATCTATAAACAAAGATGAAACACAGGGATTTTAAAGCAAATATTCAGAACTTATCCTGGAATTGCTTGCAAGCTGACAGCTATCCAGCTTATTTTTAGTTTATATTTAAAATGAATCATATGTTCCAAAATGACTGACATAAACAAAGCTTTGTTTTTGCAGCCAATTCTTTTCCATCATTTTTGGACATCACTCAGAGCTATAACAGACTTTCAGGGTGTTTAAAAGCATTCATCCATGACAACAACAAATGCTAATTATCATAAAAAATAAACAGCTCCTGTTAACATCATTCTAAGAATTTCTCCTACTCCAGCGCTATATTTCTCATCTTTCATCCCATCTGTTTTGGGGGTGGGAACAAAGACTAGATGAAAGTATAATTATCATGTATCAAACTGGACAACACAACAAAAAAGAAATGAATATAAATGGGAGGAACAGCATACATAATAAATCAATCTGGAAAAGAAAAAAAGGAAATGTAAATAAAATGGCACAGTGTGTCCTGCAGTAAACAGCGGATATGTAAACTCATGATGCAGCCAACAGTGTTTATCTTCTTGGGCATGAGGTGGTTTTTTTTTCCCATTTCAGTTCACGGTCCTGCTGTAATCAGATTTCCTCCCACATGATCAAATAGTCACCGTGTTCCTTTGGGAAGCTTATAAATGCTATCTGGTGAATTCTCTCATGAAAATTCCACCGTGATACTTTTTAAACATATCCAAAAGAACAAAGCCTATTTCTATATACTTAATACATTTCAAAGACTTTGATTTTTGAGTCATTTCTATGCTATACAAAAAACAAAAATAGTTCTTAAAAGTGTATCAAGAGGGACTACAAATGGCCAGTTAAGAATGCAATTAACTCATTATAAATATTAAAAGCATGAACAATCACATATCTCTACATAGGAAGAGAATATCTCTTCATATTTAAATACTCAACAAGGATTGGGATTTTATTTTACTGTCATGACCTTACTCCTGTAACAGTCCCTGGCATGAAGCAGGTGCTCAATCAATATTTTTTGAATTAAATATTGCATAAAATGGAACTTTTTCTTTTCTTCAGAGGATTTTAAAGGGATACGTATTCTAGGAATAATTCTGTAGTGACTCAGTTACCATTAATATTGAAATAATCAAGGACTTTTGTAATCTCAAAGTATGTCAGTCACCTTGAAAGTGAAGAGAGTGGAAAAGTGTCTTTTAAATAGTAAAAAACTATTTTAGTAAATTTAATCTGAGGTCCAGTATCCCATCAAAAGACTATATACCTAATCAATTACTATATATATTTTTATTTAAATTTGTTTCAATGATATAAATGTTTCGAATATTATTTAAAGCAAATCTCAATTACACATGGAGATTTATCAAACTGTGATATGAACTTGATCACAAATTCCATTATCTCTTTATTCAATCACTCAAGAACCACCTGCATGAAATAAAAATGTCACATTCACACATACACACACACACAAATGCAATAGTAAAGAAAGGTGGTATATCTATAAACCTTTGAACATTTGAAAATTTTCTTTCTACTATGAGGAGTTTTAGGATAATAAGAAATAAATACAAAATATCTCATGTACAACATACACATATGTGTGTCTGTGTGTGTATCTATATCATGTGTGTGCATTTTTGAGGATGTGTGCTGTTTAGGCAGAATTCACCTGAATTATATAAGAGGGAATAGAGAAGTAAATAACCCATGAATTCACAATGCATGAGTACTCATATTTATACATTTCTGTGTATGACATCCATAAACATATGTGGACCAATTTGTAACTGAAGATACCCCTGGACCATCACTTTGTGCAACCCCAGAGAAACCATTTACAGAGAATTTGCCATCCATAATTGGACATACAAAATTTTACCAATGACAGAAAAGTAATGACTCAGAATAAAACATAATACAATAAAATCAATAGGTCTAATCTGAGCTAAACAACACATCAAAAATAGGCTATTTTTAAGGGCATTTATTGATGTATTTCTTAGTTAAGATTATTTACAAGCATTTCACTTTTTTAAATCACAAAAACAAAATTAGTCTTGTGTATTTAGACTCAAAATTAGTAATGTGTATTTAGACTCACTCTTTTTTATCCCAATGAAAATGTTTTTCAAATTATCTTCATTGTTTTCTCACCCCTGTAACTCCCTGTTCCCTGATCTCTCGGGAGAGAGTTCCTATCTGTCAACTTGCAGATGGTCAATTTTATTGGCAAATGGACTAATTTCTGTGCAAAGTACTAAATTCTGCATGAGTGAACAAAGTGTGCTCATACTTTGGGAGGATTTAAATTCAAATGAATTTCAATTTTGATATAAACATGCAGACAGAACTGTCTTAGAATAAAATTCTTTACATTCTAAAATAAAGGCACTACATGCCTTAATGTGACCTACCTTATCACTACCTAATAACCAAAATAATATACACTTCCTTCATCAATGTAACAGCCAAGGAAAATTAATACTCTACTTTAATTGCTTACTTTCTTATGTTTATCTAGAAGACTTGTTTTTAATTGATACCTCAAGATAACCATCATATATAAAAATAATAACATATATTAAAACAAGAAAGCACAACTGCTGGCCAGAAACTATTCATTAAAATATTAATTGAAGACACCAAAATGAAAACCACTTCATAAATTCTATTTTCCAAGTTCCTATACTGTGTCTACACATAAATGGTTCCAAAACCTCTGAGTATTTCAGTGGGTATTAAACTGTTGCAATTTGAGAAAAGAACCTTTTTGAAACTTTAACATTCTACCCAGATATAAAGGTTATTACTTTTCATACACGTTCTCTGCACATGAAGAGCTAGAGAAAATGTTAAGACAAAATTCTGAATTTCTTGACAAGTTTCATTGACTGCTAATCATGACACTTGATGTTGGGAAACTATCCTGAACTTAGTAGAAAAATTATTGGAATAAAAAATTCAATATTATATTTCACACTCTCTCCTTCCTCCAATATTATAATTTATACTAACTGACCCCCACAGAAAAAAAGAATGCCTACTGTACAAATACAGACCAAAAAATGTATGATTAAGCTGCTCTTTGTTTGAATGTGTCAAATTAGTGTTGTTTGATTGCCAAAGTCTTTTCAGAATACAGTAAGACTCTAGGATGAGTTTCAGAAAATTGTGTGTATTTAAAGCACAGCCCCAAGGGCCACGGGCCTTTCTTACCTGTGCTGTCATCATACACGACTGTGACAGTTTTCCACTTGAAGAACTGCACCAGGTCCAAAATGGCACGGCTGAGCGAGGAGAAGTCTGGGTAGAGACTGACATAGAAGGAGTCTTTGTTGTCTGACACCTGGTGCTTCCAGCGGGTCTGAATGTGGGGCACGCCCAGGGCGTTGCAGATGGACTGCACAGCGTTTGCTGAAGAGCTGTGCGAAGGCCCGAAGATGGCAGCCACCCCGAGAGAGAGCTGATCACAGGCTGGAGAGAAGACAGAAGTGTGTCAATAACGAGTGAAGAGACACCAGTGCACCGACATTACCGCATTGTTATTGTAAACCCAAAGGTATGATCTTGAAGATTTGTTTTTCTTTAATATAACATCCACATTTAGCTGATTTTACATTTTTTCTGCCTTGCAACATTTTCAGTTTGTTAGAAGGGAAATGCACTCAGGCACCTGAAGCTCAATGTTGAAATGATTCTACAAATAGTGTTAAGGGCGGGAGGGAGGGAAAGAGAGAGGAGGATTGTTCTAGAATATAACAGGGAGTGTTCATTTTGGAAGCATAGTTTGTATCAGGGAGTTGGGAGAATAGTGTTCCTTCCCAGATGCACCTGACATCATCTATATTTCAAAGTCTTCTTGAGAAGCCATTTGGTTCTCCCTCTATCCAAAAAGCTATGGCCACACATATCTAAGCATTTGCACATAACCGATTAAAAGGTCAAGCTACGCCTACAAACGCCCGTCCAAAACCTGATATGGCTCACAGAGGATGATTTCATATGCGTTGATCTTACTGAATAGAAAGAACATGAAAGTCGTCAGATAAATATTTGATCATCTTTGTTTATTTGGCTTTGGGAAACTATGTCTTTTATACTGTTCGAACTTATTTTTTTAAGTTTATATTTACTCATACGAAATTTGGCTCACATCAGTAATAATTACAGTAAGTAACAGGTATGCACAGACTGAAAGGCATTCAGGTGAGAAGCGATGGCCTGTGACAGGACCTGAAATTCTAAAAGGTCCACTGAAGCAACTAGTGAGGGTGGGCCTAGAGTAAATAATTATTGGAGACATGAAAATCATCTTTAAACATCTGAAGATCTGACCTGTGAAAGAAGCTTAAGACTGTTCCGTGTCAATATAAAAGGAAGAATAAGGGCAAATGGTTAGCGGCTTCTCACAAATTTTCACACAATTTAAATTGAAAAAAAATTGAAAGGGAAGTGAGAAATGCCCCCAAGTGGTAGTCTGTTCCAAGAGGCAGTGGTTTGTCCGTCCTTGCAAACAGTCAACCAGGACTAAGCAGAATTGTTATGGGAAATCTGGGACATCAATTAGGTGTTCAGATGCAATCTATCCAAAATAGTTTATGATTCTCTTGTGGCAAATTTCTGATATTTTCCTTCAGGGTTTTTGCTGCATAAAATACAATGGTATGGATGGATTCTTAAGCATAAAGATATTTAATAATTAAGTAAGTATTACCTGAAAAAATGACTTTCTTAAATTTTCTTTGAAAATCCAGTGTGATCTAAATACACTGATTTTGCCTATGTAGATTCTTATTTTTTAAATAATAATTGAACTCTGAATCAGGAAGAGGTCAGAGATTGAAATTTTTCACTTACGTGGATTTTAATTAACATACACTGAGAATAAAAGATCTTCCTTCACCAAACTTTTGACAAATCACAAATCAAGTAAAGTCAAAACATTATGTCATATATACAGGATGCCCTGAAGAGTGTTTCAAATAAAGTGTTTCAGTTATCGGAAGTCATTTAACAGCAATGCATGATTCAAATAATTCAATCTCTAATGCATCAACATATTCATTTATTGAGCAAAACAGTATTATCTATTAAAAGTGTAAGACCACATGTCAGAGAAAATGTTAAAACTTAAACATTTAATTTCTTATGATTTTCTTGCTTTGGAAATATAATTTCATAAACTGTAAGAATGTCCAAATTAATCATTTACATTATTTTTAAATTAATCATTAACATCACTATTTACCTGTCTACTGATCTCTGCAGGTTCAAAAGCATATTCTATCTTTCCCCATATCATCCTTTTACATATTGCTGTACTTTCCAATCAGTAATAGCTGAACAGCAAGAGCCTCACAGGTAAGATCCAAAGCATAACCATCACCCTCCAACATCTCACAAAGAAAGTTACTCATACACTTACCTGGGCTTTTCCTAGCTTCAGGCAAAAGTCAATTAATGAATTTGATTCCCAGTGGAGTTTTAATGGGTGACAAAGTCTGTAAATCCCTTTTAATATTTTGGAAACCAAATGAGTTTAACCCCTCATCATTTTAACTAGGGCATTTCCAAGATAGGAAGTTTATTGTCAGAACATCCTAGTCCTATTTTATGTCACTCCTTTGAAGTCGCCATTGAGAAATCTATTAATATTTTATTTACACTGCACTCATATTCCCTATTCTTTGGTCTAAATGATTTCATTTGAGACAGAGCTGCTGCTTCTTAATGGAAATCATCATGAACTATGTCACTAATCAAATGCACTTGTCTTGCAGTTAATGACTTATTTTGCAATGATGATGACAAATACAGTATTTCCCAATAACCTTTACCCTTTTTTTCAGCCTTTAAAACCTCTGTCACCCTGACATGGTTCTGAAATGTGGCAGCTTATTTGCATTCATAAAGATATGACATCAGACAGGCAGAATAGAGGCTTTGATAAACACTAGTTAGCTGGAGGGAAAAAAGGTACTTTCATCTCAAGAAATACTGTACCTTATCAGCTATCATTACTATTAATGAGCTTAGAGGAAATTTGGACCAACTCAGATTTGGAAATAATTATGTATATTTCCATCAATGTAAAATAGCTAATAAAACAATACTAGCATTACAGAAAAGCAAATGCTTTTTAAAAAACGAATTCAGAATAAATGTTTTGCAAGCCTGCTCCTGTGAGAAAAATCTACGTAGTGAAAATTCATTCCCGTTACATGAATGCTACCTATACAATAGAAAAGGTAAGTTGGTTATACAGTTAAACTATGGAAACGTCTCTCAAAACACATTTACTACCAAGACTGCTGTTTGGTTAAAATAATCTTTTGAAAATAAAAATGTTCCTCTATTACTACTTTCATATATAAATATTAAATTCATATTCTACAAAGTTATTTTCCTATTTTGAATGTTTAAGACATAGTTCCACAACATAGTAAAAGGAATAACAAAATTCATAAACATTCTAATTAACTATTCATATAATCAACTTTTCATATAATTAGCCACTTATTTTCAGTTACAAGGAAACATAAGTGATTAAAAAAAGACATGAAATATTAATAAATGAAAGGTTATTCAATATTTTCCAATAAAGTTTTAAGAAAGGACAGACTTTTTAAAGTCACTTGGAACCACAGAACTTTCAAGGTACTCAGTAAATTGACACCACAGTAATAATACAGTAGAATCAACAAATAATGCAAATAAAACGGAAGAATGGATTGCAAAACATGGTAAAATCCACTCATGTATGTCATTTAATGGGGTCTTAAAAACAGGAATAATTTAGTAACAACATAGAAGGATTGATGGGAAAAAAACAATTTCCCTATCACAGATTCAACTGCATATCTTTTTACAATAATCATATCAGCTTACCTTCCCTGATAAAATTTATGTGCATTCTGAAAAGCTGCATTTGCAAGAAAACATTCCTAACGACTTACTCATTATCTTTGGAATTAAGAAATCTCTTAAGAAACCTAGAAATTTGAATTGCAGAAGCCATAACGGTAAATGTCTATACATCACCTTTCTTGGACGCTTCAAAACTGTCATAGAGATTTATCTTCTGGGTGTCATAGGTTAGGGTGGTATTGGGCAATAAGGTTCTGTTTCTGTTGATCGTGTTCACAGCAAATCTGAACGCAAGCTCCTCAGCTCCCATTGGACCAGATTCCACATATTCAAAAATACCACCTGCCAAAAAGAAAGAATAATCATACAGTTCTTACAGGATAGAGAAAATGTGGGAAGTTTTCTGTAATTTTAAGTATGTAGGTAAGTATGTGTATGTGCTTACTAGTTCTATAAATTTGAATATTTGGGAAGTGCTCTTTTAGATAAATCCACATAGGCAATATTTCTTTGGTACTGCTACCAAAATTAACATGATTTAAATATGATTTTGCCTTTTTTTTAGTATGAGCTTCTTTTTGTGTGTAGATATATACAGATCATGCCTTAAGTACTGAACATTATCCTGCAAAATTTTGCCCACAATTCCAGAATAATCAATCCTCTATGTTGGTATGAAGCTACAGAGTCAAGCATTGGGAAAATTACATTTTTCTCCATTAATTAAGGAACCAGAGTTCTTTACCACCATTGTTATGGCAATTACTGTGTTAAGATGTCAAAATACATGTTCACTTTCAAATTCTGGCATCTTTCTGGCAAGAAAAGAGAACAAGGTAGAATTTCCTATTTGTTGTACTGTCAGTTTTATTCCAGAAGAACTTGACATTTGTGAAAGAGAACGCTCTCGAACAGTGCAAATCCCTTAATCAAGGAATAACACTGTAGCATAAAATTTTGTGCCTAAAAGATACAGTAAAATCTAAAAATATGTCCTTTCCATTTCTCACTTTCTAGCAGCTCTGCTCAGTTCAGTTCTTGTCCCAGCCTTCCTTCTTGATAGCATCTCTCCCCTCCTCAGTTATGAGTGACCCAACTTGGTCCTCTGTCTCCGGCATAATCGCTTCTTTATTGCTGCTTTGGTGAATGGACTGAAATGGGAGCAGCTGATACCTGACACCCTCCAATCTCTGACCTTGGGAAACTAGTCTTTCAAAATAGAGAGCAGGTATCTTTCCTGTTTCGAATTTCACACCCTATCCTCTCAGCACAGTCATTCATTCACGACGTGTTAAAGTCTCCTGAATAAGCCATTTTCACAGCTTGCGATTCACACTACAGTAAATGTCTTGGGACACATGAATTTCGGGTGAGTATACTATCAAAACACGACCTGTTCTAAATTAGTAAGAACCTAAGGTATTGTAACCATTCCTGTAAATATGAGGAATAAGGCCTCTAGAATATACCACAGTAAGCAGACAAATATATTCAGAAAGATCTGGAAAATTTGCTATTTGACACCATATTATTTTGAAATATTTCTCCTATTCTTCTAACTAAACTGATGGTGTACTTACCAGAGCAATCCATTTATTGTGAAATAGTACTCTGAATATATTTAAAATCTTTGGTGACTTGATGCTAAGCAGCAGGGTAAGTATCTAAGTGTCTAATGGGCGTCAAGAACCATATCAGATGTCTCCTATTTGTGAAGAAGGGTAGTGGTGTGAGCATGGACTCTGCAGCCAAGCTGGGTCGACATTCTGGCTCCGCCACACTTGCCATCCATGTAAATCTGGGCAGTTGCTCAAATCCTCAGTCTGAGTTTTTTCATCTCTAAAAGAAGGATGATGGGGGCTACTGCACAGAGATGTCATAAAGATTAAATATTACGTTATAAAGATTAAACAAAGCACTTGGATCAGTGGCTGCCACAGAGTAAGTGCTCCATAGTGTTTAAAGTTTTACTGAATCTTCAAAGTACTCCAATTTTGCAGGAAAGGACACTCTGGGCCAAATTCTGCACAGCTATCAAGTGCCAGAGCCAGCATGAGAATCAGGCCATGTCTGACTTCAAAGCCCTTGCTTATCTCACTATAAACTAGTAGTTTTCTTCAAAATTTCATTCAGGCAAATGCAGAGAACTTCCTAAAATTTGAGACATGGTGACTTTAATAATAACACGTAATGAGAAATGTAAAATCTTAAATATGGAATAGAAAAGCAAACCCGATATTGTTTCTCAATGGCAAAATAAAATGAAAAACTGAGTCTTCTACTTTCCTCAGTTCAAACTGTAGTTTCTGTGTGGTATAAATGGTGTGTAGACATGGTCAGTAGTTGATGATAATGGGCTAAAACTTTCCTATCCTTTACCGCTCTTCAAGATAAATAATGCAAATTCAGGTTTACATATTAACTACTGGTTTGAATATTTAAAGAAATCTCTGTAATCCCATAGGAAAACCCATTTTCTACTTAATTTAAAAAATGAATAATTAATTTTTATTGATCCAAAGCCAAGGTTTAGAATTTTGCATATTAAAAAAAATGAAAATATTCAGATGATATATGCTTTCTGGGAACGATATCTTCTATCACACCTCCCAATCGTATTAACTCAAGACAGAGAGATCACTACCCCCGACATGCGCAGGGCAGGTGTGAGCAGGGTGGGTAAATAAATGTCAGTTAAGATTTAGAAGGTCTAAGTTATACATTTAATGTATTTGTCTAATTAATATTGATGAAATACCTAGTATCTTGAAGTGACAAAATAATATATTTTTTTCTTTTCAAGTATATATTTACCAAAACTAATCATAAGGTGAGTCATATACTAAATCTCAACACATTTAAAATGATTGAAATTATTCAGAGTATGTTCCCTAACCACAGTAACACTAAGCTAGAAATCAGTAACAAAAAAGATAACTTGAAAATACCAAATTTAGAAATAAAAGAATACATGGCTAAGTAATCTAAGAGTCAAGGAAGAAATTATAATGAGAATTATAAAATTTGGTGAACTAGCCAGAACTGAAAATGTGGCAGGATATATATTTGTAGGATGCAACTAAGTTAAGTCTGTGCTTATAGGAAAATGTAAAAGACTGAAATTCAGTGATCTAAGTTTCCATCTCAAATATCCAGGAAAAGAAGAAAGCAAATCAAATCTAAAAAAAATAAAGAAAGAAAATAATAAATATTAGAGCAGAAATTTCTGAAACAGAAAACAAACATTTAATAGAAAAAAAATGGATAAAACCTTAGCAAGTCTCATAAGAATAAGGAGAAAAGGGAAATTACAAAAAATAAAATTATACACCAATTCTTCATAAGCATAGATGCAAAATAAAAGCAAATTGAGTTTAGCAATATATAAAGATAATAATACATCAAAATGACGTGAGTTTATTCCAGGAATTCAAGGTGTGTTTAACATTTGAAAATAATTTAACATATTTAAAATATTAATTTTGTCCAGAAAATGAATAAAAATCAAACAATCCTTTTGACAGTTACAAAAATATCTGAGCACTATTAAAAACTCAGCAATTTAGAAATAGAAGAGAACTTTTAATCAGATAAAAAGTATCTATAAATAATCTATACCAAACATCATGCTTACTGGCATAATGTTAAAAATTTTCCTCTGAAGACTGGTAAGTAATAAAGGTGCCAACTACTGACCGCTTTATTTAACATTGTACTGAAGGTCTATTTTGATGCAGTGAGTAATGAAACATAAATAAATGAACAAACAAATAAATAAATGAAAGTATAAGGTTTCAAAAGAAAGAAACAAAATGGATGAAATGACTGCATATGTACAAAACTAATATAGATAAATTATTATAATTAAAAGAATGAATTTATTAGGAAGCTGTCATTGGATATAAGATCGATATACAAAATGAATTGTATTTCTGTACACTGACAACAAACCAAACGGAAAAGTATTCAAAGTTCCATTTTCAACAGCATCAAAAACTTGAAATATCTAGAAATATAACAAAAGATGTGCAAGATATCTATGATGAAATTATACAACATTGAAAGAAAATAATGAACTAACTAAACATATATTGAGTTTTTGAAATAAATAACTTAGGATACTATGAGATGTTAATTATCCACAAATTAATCTACATGTCCCAATCAAAGCCACAGCAAACTAAAATTCAAATAGAAATGCAAAGGGCCTAGAACAGTAAAAGTAATCTTAAGAGAAACGGAAGCTGAAGGATTTACACTCCTGTATTTTAAGAAATTGTAAAACAGAAATTCATTCAGTTGTAAATTACTCAATTTTTGGTATTGGTTTAAAAATAGGCTAATAAATAAATGGAACAGAACATATAATCCAAAAACAGGCTTCTACTTTTACAGTCACTGACAGAAAAAAAAGTAATGATGCTCTAGTGCCAAAGACAAAGGATCGTATTTTCAATAAATGTGTCTGATGAGCTGCATAATCATAAAAAAATAAGTTCAGTCTTAAGACTAAATGTGAAAGTTAAACAATAATACGAAAAGAAAAATTCAGGCTAAGAAAGGACCTTTTAAAAAAAGGGGGGGTTATTATAAAAGCAAAAAAAAAAGTTATATTAAACCATATTAAATAAGAACTTCCTAGTTCAAAATGGAATCCAGAATGTGTGTAAGTATGTATGTGCGTATTCATTTCTAAAATATTCATAAAAAAGAAAATGGCAGTCAAATCAGTAGAAATATGGGTAGAAAACTTGAACAAATACTTCTCCAAAAAGATTCAAATGGACAATAAAATTCACAAAGTGTTCAACTTCATGGTAGTCTGGACAATGAATATTAAAATGACAAGTCCACACAATTTTATACACCTCCAAATGACTAAAATGAAGAAGATAAGTAGCACCGAGTGTTGGTGAAAATCTGGGGCAATGAGACCTCCGTACAATTCCGGTCTTTCTGGAAGCTGGTGCAGCCTATTTTGAAAATTGTGTGTCAGAGTCCGAATTCTAACACTGAAAATACATAAACCATGAGCACTAAAATTTTACTCCAGGAACCACACCCAACAAAAATGTGCATATATGTTCATCAAAAAACATGTACTACAAGAATATTCATAGCATCATGGAATACCGGCAGCGGTGAGTGACTACATACAACTATACGACATTAATTTAACATCCAAAATGTTGAGTAAAAGAAGTCAGACACAAAAAAATACTGCTGAATGGTTTCATTTTTTAAAAAGTTCAAGAAATAGTGTTTGGTGGTAGGGGTAGGAAGGTGCATGATATGATTCTGGGGTGCTGGTGATGTTTTTTAATGTAGGTGCTTGGATATAT